TATTTCTGCCAGCATAGTGTCATCTGCAAATTTGATGATTTCCCCTTTTATTCCCTTATCTAAGTCATTTATGAAGATTTTGAAGACTAATGGGCCTAAAACAGAACCTTGTGGTACCCCACTGTTTACTTCCCTCTATGTAGATATAGTACCATTAAGGACTACTCATTAATGGTACTATATCTACTCATTGAGTACAGTTTGTCAGCTAGTTACAAATCCATCTGGTGGTAATGCTGTCAATCCCACATTTGTCTAGTTTACCAAGATGTAGGTTGTCGAATGTCTTGCTGAAATCTAAGTATACTATGCCTACAGCATTTTGCTGGTCTACTAATTTAGTCACTTTGTCAAAGAATGAAATAAGATTGTTTTGGCATTATCTGTTTTTAACAAACCCGTGCTGGCTTTTAGCTTTAACATTGTTTCCAGATGTTTGCAGATCGATTTTTTGATTATCTTTTCCAGTATCTTCCCAGGAATTCATATCAGATTGATTGGTCTGTAGTTTCCTGGGTCTTTTCCCCCCTTTTTTGAAGATGGGATCCACATCAGCTCTTTTCCAATCCTCAGGTAGTTCCCCGCTGCTCCAATTTTTGAAAGATATGGTACAATGGTTCTAAGATAACATCTGCCAGCTCCTTCAGAATTCTTAGATGTAATCCATCAGGTCCCGGTGACTTATATTCATCAAGATCAGACAGGTAGGTTTTCTCTTACCATTTTCCTGCTTATTTTAATTTTTATTTCTAGTCTGTCTTTTGCAATTACTGTGTTTCCGCCGAAAATAAGACCCAACCAGAAAATAAGTCCTAGCATGATTTTTAGGCGTGCGCCTAATATAAGCCCTATCCCTAGTTAAGAGCCCGCCCACTCCATCCACCGTCTGGTTGCTTGCAGCCACAAGAGGCAGTTAGGCGCAGTGCAATCCTCTAGTAGTTACTTTTGGATGACAAAGTTGTCAGCTAAGGAATCTGTTAGATCTCCCATTTGCTGCAGAGTTTTTCTCCCAGTTGATATCAGTGTAGTTAAAATCTCCCATTACTACTGTGGTATGTTTCCTACATACATTTATTAATTGATTAGTAAAGTGTTTATCTGTTTCTTTTGCTTGGTTGGGCCTGTAGTATATGTCTATACC